ATACCTCAATTTTAAAAGTACAAATTCAGGGGTGCCTGGGAATCTTAAAATGTATATATATATATATATATACACACACACATACACACACACACAAATTCAGTACAATCATAATTCGTATTTGGGGTCATGCCACTTTGCCAGTTACATTTTATAGCAAAACATAGTTTAATTTTCTATCTAAACCTTTCCCCAGCTTTCCTTAGAAAATTCGCTTTTGCATGTATACATCCTTCAAGACTCATTTACTTTGAGATCTTTCTGGAAGATAAAGGACATGCTCTGCCATTTGTGAGTAATGCACTGCCTGTGACTTCAAATAAAATAGATGGCCAAAGAGATGTATTTTGTTATGCAAAAGCAATAAACAGTAAATTTCTCTTTTCAAAAAGGAATGGGCATTCCTGGGGCACCTGGGTGGCTCAGTCAGTTAAGCGTCTGCCTTCAGCTCAGACGGGGAGCCTGCTTCTCTCCCTTCTTCTCCCCCCACCCCAACCCGTGTACACCCTTGCACATGCCAGCTCTATCGCAAATAAAATCTGAGAGAAATGGGCACTCCTTATTTAAGCGCTTCATGATTTTGTTTTAAAGAAGAGAACAGAACTGAGGGAACTGGTAGGATCAAGGCTCTACAAAGACCTTCGGCTTTCTCCACAGGAAAAAGTGCCTTCTTTCAATGACTACGTTTGGGGGCATCTGTCTTCCACTTAGGTCGTGATCCCAGGGTCCTGGGATTGAGTCCTGTGTCAGAAACACAGGCTTAGCCAAAATACGGCTTTTTGACACCCAGAATGAACTTCTGCCACACCAAGGAATGAGGGTCTAGGAGAGCAGCAGCGTCCTGCCACTTTCACTTCCGACCACGGGCATCAGGAGATCTTGGGTTGGGTCAACAGCAGCAGGGGGCGGCGGGGGGGGGGGGGGAGGTTAAACGCACACACAGGAACCAATGAAGTGGAATGAACCCTGTTGAAACTCAGTTGCTATGTGAAAACCCACCTTAAAAATTACCAACTTGGGGCACTGGGGTGGCTCAGTGGGTTACAGCCTCTGCCTTAGGCTCAGGTCATGACTCCAGGGTCCTGGGATCGAGCCCCACACATCAGGCTCTCTGCTCAGCAGGGAACCTGCATCCCTTCCTCTCTCTCTGCCTAGTTGTGATCTCTGTCGAATAAATAAAAATCTTGAAAAAAAAATTACCCCGACTAAGCCTCTATTTCCCCTTGCACCTTATGCTTGGAAATACTCCATCAGGGAATGATGAAAATACATCATTGCACACACGCAAGGAGCTACATATCCATCATCTTCAAGATAAAGGAGCTGCCCACTGCTGGGCATCTCCCGACCCAGGTGACATTCTTCTTGGTCTCAACACACTGAATCAGGATCCACCTGCCCCCGGGGTTGGGACAAATCTCCCTAAGGATAGTGTCGACTTTCTGAGCCCAACAGGAGAAACAAGGGGGACTGCCATACTGAACGCTCCCTGCGTCCCAGGTTGTTTTCATGCTCTCGCCATAATCCTATAAATCAAATATATTCTCCCCATTTCGCAGATGAGGTATCCAAGGTCCTACAAATTATCTTGCCCCAGGTACTCAGGCTAAGTGTTGACCTGAACTTCCTTCCTGAATGACCAGCCAGTGATCTCATGAACCCATCCTTTGCCGACTAGATGTGTACCATGTCACCTAACCCCTGACTTTGTTTCCTGATGTTCTATGGATGTGGACAGGCATTAACTTCCCAGTTGGGGCTCAAGCCACCCACAGCATTGTAAGCAAGTCTTGCAGCTCTGAGGGCTGCCTTTGAAACAACTGAAGGGCTTCCTATAAACATGCAGGCATTTCAATACTTTAAAATGTCACCTGGCTCAACCCAGTGCTCCCAGACACGGAGAGGGAAACAGCCACCTTCCTTCCAGACTGCTCTCCCCTTCTGCACAGCTGACAGGCCAGGTGGGCCCATCAAACAAGGCACCATCTCCACCTGGAGCAAGGGGCCTCCTCTAACCTTCCCCAGACCCTCTCTGCAAACACGAATGCAACAAAGCAACAGTTCCTTTCCCAGAACACTTTTCTAACAGGTTCTAGGGATGCCAACTGAAGGCAGAGGGTCAGGGGGAAATACGGAGTTTATCCCCTCCCCCCTTCCAGTCACACTGAGCTACAAGTGACAGAGTTTAAAGTCGGTAAGCTGAGATTTCCTTCCATCTCCCATCAGGTTTCAACAACAGAGTTTGACTACAAGGAACCCGTAAAGGAAATACCAAGAGGTAGGCAGGTCTCAAATGACCAAGTCTTGGGACATCTGCACTGCTTACATTCTGGCTCCTTCAACAGAAACAACGCGCCATGTAGAGAGTGAGACTCTACATGGCGCGCTCACACCACAACCTGGAGAATTAGCTTCAAACTAAGGGCGGAGAAAACACACATACAGACAAAACGCACACTTACGCAAACCACTGCCAACCCATGTGGAACCATCCATCTTCGCCCCATCGATCCCTCCGGTAGGAAGCTCCCCAAGGTAAGCTGGCCAGGAGGAACACTATCCCTCAATGATGATCAAGACTTTACGAGGGGCGCCTGGGTGGCTCAATGAGTTAAGCCGCTGCTTAACCGCTCAGGTCATCATCTCAGGGTCCGGGGATCAAGGCCCGCATCGGACTCTGCTCAGCAGGGAGCCTGCTTTCCCCTCTCTGCCAAATAAGTACTTCCCAGTGTGAGAAGGGTTTATACTTCGATTTCCGTTATCTAAGGGCCGGGTTAATCTTGCTTTCAGAGTAAATGGAATGCCTACCTCACTCCAAATTTAGATGAGTTGAGGCCAAAGGACGGACAACCCTTGGAGGGAGGAGAGGCCACCCACCTCCCAAGGAGGTAGCCAAGCAGGGCTCACATCAGGTTAAAGGCCACGAGAACAGAATCCCCAGCGTCCTCAACAGTCAGGAGAACCCATTCACTGATGGGGTCGCATCCACATCCGCAAGGTTCTCAAGCCTGACTCTGGTACTTCCCACTGGGTTTGCAAAGAGAAACACTGCAAAAGAAGGTAAGACAACAGGATACTTTCCCAGTAGGACACTAACCTGGATCTTGCCTTTGTTCTCTCTCCCTAGTGGGTATTTCTTCCACCATCCTCTCATGCAACCTTCCCTTGGAATAAAGTGCCAAGTCCTATGTGATTCTCAGCAGTCCATTCTGGAGGAAATGGTGTCTCTCTCTGCCCAGTGACTCATACCAGATTAGGATGGGCAGTTACGGGATAATCTCCTGTATAAGCCTCCTGTGGTCACAAGCAGGAGTTCTCTAGAATAAATTTACTCGAACAGAACTTTTTGGCTTAAAAAGAAAGATGCCAAGCAGCAAGCAGTTATCTGTGTGCTTGAGAAAACGGGGACAGAATGGATGTAACCAGATGCACATACATATTCGATTCTAGGACCTGGAGGGTCCTGAGGGCAAAATGATGCTTAAGTGAGAGTTCTCAGGTTTAGAGCAGAAATGAACCAGAATAACTCATACACGCCTGGTGGTGGGGGGAAAGGAAAAAAAAAAAAAAATCCAAAATTTATTCTCCAACAAGACAGCATCAGCAGGTAAAACTACAGGGTTTCTCCAAAGATTATACATTCACAAGGGCATTACTTAACAGTAAGAAAGGCTCTGGCGTGTTCTCTGTAACAATATCCACTTCACAGTGTAAACAGGTTACTAGCATTGTGTTCAACATACAATTCCAGAAGGAAAGGCACAATGTGGCAAAAAAAATTTTTTTGGATCCTAAAAGTCAGGTGCAATAACACAGACAAACTTTTGGTAACAGTCTTGATCTACTTCCCCACAAATCAGGAGATTTCTCCACTCAGACATTAAGGTCTGTCTTTCTCCTTCCTTTTTAAACCATGAGAGCACGTTTCATCATTCCATATACAAAAAGGGGAGGGAGTTTAAAAACAAACAAAAAAAACAAAAACCAAAGAATCAAGAAAATATCTTAAATGTCCTGCGGCTCTCACCACATTAATCAACTCAAGGTTTAAGACAGGGCATGAGAACACTTCAGCGGTCAGAAAATAGGAAAATAGACGCTATGGCTACAAAAATAAAAAAATAAATGAGGTAGATAAATTAAAGCTTTCACACCCATGACTTGCCTGTTCCAACTTCGTAGCCTTCATGCAACACTCAACAATCTTCATAGTAACTTGGCATTAAGATGCACCAAGGACATTTTTGTACAAATTAGTATGAGAACCTATGAGGAACATGCCCTTCTGTGACTTTCTTCTAGAATGAAAACCTAAGTTCTTCAATAGAGTAGGCACTGGCGAACCAAATGAAGTCACCTGAGGGTCCCTGCTCAGCTGCCCACCTCTCCTGGTGGCTCAGGAAGGAGGCATCTGGAAAGCAAGGCAGTACATTGGCACTCTTGGGGCTCTAAATGAACTGTATTTAAATAAGCAGCAACACACATCGACTCCCTTTGGACTAAACGCAGTCCATTTGAGGGCATTCTATTTAAGGTTCCAAGGTTGAAGGAATTTTGTAATTCTACAACCTTAGTTTAAAAAAAAAAAAAGTACATTCAGGAAAAAAAGGAAGGAAGGATGGGTGAAGGAGGCTTGGGGGTCAAACACAGGTCCCTAAACAGAGAGATGCCAGATCACGTCCACGTACCCGCATACAGTCACCAGGGAAGTATCTAGTAACCACCCCCCGAATTAGGCTAAGAGTTGTCTTTTCCATTGTAGTTCAGTAAGTTCCAACTTGAAATAGGGAGAGTCTTTGGAAATAGTTACTCTCGGTTGTACAAAGGTTTTTATGTATACAGTTTGTCGCCAAGTAACAAAGCTACTTTGCAAGACCCGCTTCTTTCCAAAATTAAAGGAATTCTAGTCTGTATTTGTTTTAGTATGTATTTTCTTCTTTTTGGTTTTTTTTTTCAGTTTTTTTCTTTTTCAATTTTTTTTCTTTTTTCTTTTTTCTTTTTTCTTTTTTTTTTTTTTTTTGCAAAGCAGCATACTGACATCTGATTGTAGGACTTGCCTGAGGTTGTGATCACAACTGTAAACATTATTTGCACATCAGTAAGAAACAAACAGGAGGAGATGGGTTCTTTGAAAAAAGGGAGAAGTACAGTTCCAGAGGTCATTCTGCCTGCGTTACTCCTTCAATCAGCATTCCTCTCCTAGAGCTTAGCTGACTGCGATCTTGTTTTCTTCGAGGAAGTGAGGGAACTGGTGTTTGGGGACGCCATCAGCAGCACCTGGTTTTTCCACTTCGGCACTGATGGCTGACTGGGAGCCATCCATCTTGGAGATCGTGGTGTTGTTCACCATGGAGCTGGCCCCCAGGGAAACCGGGAGAGTAGGAATCCCTCCGCTCTGGATCACAGAGATTTCATTGGTCTTCATGGCCAGACCTCCATTGAGCATGGTGGTGTACTGGTTCCACACAACGGGGTCCACGTTCACCGAAGGCGCCAGGATTTCTTTGGGAAACATCTCAGGGACTCTCTTCCCATCAGTTCCTAACAGAGCCATGGTGTTCTCGATGGCCAGCTTCCTCCCACGGCGCGCCGAGCTGTTGTTGGCCCCGTGCGTCATGTAATGGACCTATGGGAAGAGGAACAGAAAGGTTTCCGCCAAAACAGAGATTTGATAGCGTGCAAACTGGCAAGCTCGTCCATCTGCAGATGGACTAGAACATTTTCAAAATGCAGGTATCTGTTCTCTGGTGTTGGCGGCGCGGGGGGGGGGGGGCGCGTTGGAAGGGGGCATGAAAATCACAAGATCTGGCAACAATGGGCCCACGTTCCTGCCTGGAGGCAAGTAAAGACAACCAAAGGGGGGGGACATTTGCTCCCATTCTGTCCCCATAAACAACTACAGGGACCCTTACTGTGTACCAAGCCTTCTCAAGTGCTACAGTTAAAATCTGTGAAGAACCAGCCTGCACAGGTAGTAACACTGCACAGAACTCGACACACAGGCACACAGTGTGTACAAATAAAATGGGAAAATCCGTAAGACCAGGACGTTGCATCCATGTCAATATCCTGGTTATGTTATCTATTCACATTAGCTTTTTTGCAAAATCCTGCCATCGGGGAATACTGGATGAAGTGTGTAAGGATGAATTCTCACTGCACGTGAGGTCTCCAAGCAGCCCGAGTAAAAACCCGAGCTGAAAACTAACTTTTGAACGGAACAGATGCTGCCCTCATGGAACTGATCCACAAACACATGCTTCGTCAACGATCGTCATCAGAGAGAAGCAAGCCCCGCTGGGGCAGTGACAGAAGGCCACCGTGGGAATGAATGCTGGTCATTCTGGGGTGGCAGGCCTTCCGATGACAGAAATCATACCACCTCCTTCCACTCGGCACCCTTTCTAAAATGACGGGTCTTGTCTGGCTTTTGAGTTTCTAAATCCCTTTCCAAAAAATGCGGTGGGCACTATTTTCTCAGGTCACCTCATTTCTTTCATTTCTTTTTTTTTTAAGATTTTATTTATTTATTTGACAGAGAGAGACACAGCAAGAGAGGGAACACAAGCAGGGGGAGTGGGAGAGGGAGAGGGAGAGAACCAGGCTTCCTGCCAAGCAGGAAGCCCAACGTGGGGCTCGGTCCCAGAATCCTGGGATCATGACCCTAGCTGAAGGCAGGCGCTTAACCAGTGAGCCATACGGGTACCCCAGGTCACCTCATTTCAACGCACCAACACCCTCAGAAGTTAGTAGCTATCTTGCCAGTGGGCTCAGAAGTGACCTGCCCTTCAGTGCTCTACGCTGTTAAGATGTTCCACGCATAATTGGAAACACATTACTGATACAACTCATTTCATCTCCAGGACAACTCTGAAATTGTCACTACCATTATCCCCATGCCTGGGAAACAGGTACAAGGAGCCATTATCTGCCCAAAGCCGTCTGTGCAGCAAAAGGAGCTCCAGACCTTTTCCCTGGGCAGATCCCAGGTCCTGCAAATTAACTGAAGCTTTGGATTTCTGAAGTCGGTATTAGTGCTCCTTCCTTGACATTTTCACCGACAAAATTAAAACAGTTTGTTTTTGTAGTATGCGTACTTTTTTTAATTAAATGATACATAGTCTTACAGCTCTTTAAGGCTATATATTAAGACCTGAAGTTTTGGGACGCCTGGGTGGCTCAGTCAGTTAAACATCTGCCTTCAGCTCGGGTCATGGTCCCGGGTCCTGGGATCCAGTCCCTCATCAGGCTCCCTGCTCAGCCGCAAGTCTGGTTCTCCCTCCCCTCTACCTGCTGCTCTCCCTGCCTGAGCACACTTGCTCACGCTCTCTCCCTCTGACAAATAAATAAAATCTTAAAAAAAAAAAAGAAAGACAGACTAAGTTTTAACCCCTGAGCCACAATGAATTCAACTCAACTGTCTACCCATGGGAGAGAAATAAAGAAGAAAGCTGAGAACATCTCACCCAAACCACCAGGTGGGGCCAGGGGAAAAAACCCAGGTCCCCAGTTCCCATCCTTTGTTCTTAACACGTGCCACTTTTAGTCCATACGTGGATGAGTCTCCTCATAAATTCTGGGTGGAATCTAAGGATAGTCACAGGCCATCCTCTGAATGGACCCAGCCACTGGGTTTTAACACAACTGGTAACCTGGAGACTTGCTATCAGATACGCTTAATTCACGGTTACGTACTTCAACCCAGCAGACCAGGAAAACAGAAACCAACACACAGGGTCATCACCGAGTCTGTACGCATACACGATAAATGACTTATCAACACCACATTATACTACGCACCATGTATCGTCTGTCTCCAGGCTGGATCTCGCCCAGCTACTGAATGATTATAGAGAGAAGTCACGGTCTGCCCCAGTATCAGGGAAAAACCACCCTATGTGTAACTACTATGTTATACTGACAGAAACATCCAAAAGACTTCATGTAATGTTCCTCGAAAAGCATCCTCTGCAAAATGCATTACTATCTCATGTGCCGCTAAGATTGGGGGGGAAATGACCAATTTCAGACAGATGGCACAAAGTATCCCACTTTGAGCAGCATCGTGATGAGGAAACGTACTTTCCGATGCCTATTTTGGGAGCCAGCTATGAGATCTGACTATATGGTATCCCACTGTTTTTTGTTTGTTTGTTTTTTAATTCGGGGTGCCTGGGTGGCTCAGTGGGTTAAATAAAGCCTCTGCCTTCGGCTCAGGTCATGATCCTGGGGTCCTGGGATCGAACCCCACATCCAGCTCTCCGCTCAGCAGGGAGCCTGTATCCCTTCCCCTCTCTGCCTACTTGTGATCTCGGTCTGTCAAATAAATAAAACCTTTAAAAAAAAAAAAAAGATTTTATTCATTTATCTGACAGAGCACAAAAAGGCAGAGAGGCAGGCAGAGAGAGCGGGGGAAGCAGCAGCCCACTGAGCAGAGAGCCCGATGTGGGGCTCGATCCCAGGACCCCGGGATCATGACCTGAACTGAAGGCTGAGGCTTTAACCCACTGAGCTACCCAGGCGCCCCTATCCCACTGTTCTTAACAGAAGAATCCGTCAGATGGATGAACACCAACGAAGACTTGCTGCTCAACATCCCCCCGCCCCCCGAGAAACGCACCTTCAGGTTGCCTTTGGTGGTGAACGCTCGCCCACATATGTTACACACGAAAGGCTTCTCCCCCGTGTGAGTCCGCTCGTGGATCTGCAGGGCGCTCGCTGAGGAGAAGTTCTTCCCACAGCGCGTGCAGCCGTGCTGCTTGGCCTGTCGGCGTGGCTGGGCCGCTAACAAAGGCGTCATGCCTGGGGACATGGTCGTGGGTCCACCAAAGGCGCCAGGGACTTCAACTTTGACATAGGTTGGCTGGGCTCGGATAAACGTCGATGGCAGACTGCTACGACCTAGTATCCAGAGAAAAGAAACCCCAGACCTTTATCATCCCATATTCATGCCTTCTCAAACCACAAAAGAGCTCTGATGACAACTGCCCACCGAGAGCCTGGAAACCACTTCTGCGAACTGTGTACCTCGGACGCAGCCTTCCTCTCTGGCACATCGACCTGCCCAGGGAGTAAGAGCTCAAGTACTTGGGGGAAGTCACCATGTTGGCATTAGGGTACAGGCAACACACAAACACCTAAAATTCAAGTTCCTGCATAAAAAGTTATCTTTAAGGGGAGCCTGACTGGCTCAGAGGGTGGAGGACCGGGAGCTTGTTGATCTCCGGGTTTTGAGTTCCAAACCTATGTTGGGTGTGGGGTGTGGAGTTTACTTAAAAATAAATACCTAGAAACTATTTTTTAAGAAAAAGTTATCTTTTATGCCCAGAGGGCAACCTTCTCAGGTCCCCTCCCTCCTTGGGAGCTTTGTGCTACCACTTTGCTATAGCTCAATGAACTTTGCTTTGCTGCCCCCCCCCCCCCCCCCCCCCCCCCCCCCAAACCCCAAAAAAAAAAAAAAAAAAAGGCACGTCCAGACACCAGGTTTATTTCATTCTATCAGCAGCTGTTCCCCCATTTCACCATGAACAACATCAACGGGTACCCCACCTGTTTTGTATGTGCATTTTAAAATGGGTCAGATTCTCCTCCTCACCCCCACCACGTTATTCATCTTTGAACCCTGCAATAGGGAGTGGGACCTCAGAATCAAGGAACTATGGCTTATCTCAGTGGCCAAAAAGCAGCGCTTACGTTCTCAAACACATTCTTCTACTGGATCATTTCCGTAAGATTACCCAATGTCTCCCTGGGGCTCAACCACAGAAGTTAAAAACTGGCAAGTGTGCTGTACGTACCCAAACTGCATTAACCACCACAAACAGAAGGATGTCAGTGCTCGGACAGAGGCAGTTACTAATCCCCTCTACCCAGAAGCACAGAGAGGCTAATTGCCCTACAGAAGAGCTGCTCTGCACACGCCACACTGTCCATTGGCCAAGTTCAACCCAGGTTCCTTTTGGATGACCTTGTGCCCAAAATGGACCTAAGTTAAATCCAAAGCTCTATCACCTTCCATCTCAGTGCGGCTGTTCTCGGAGCCGTCTGCCTTGCCACCAGCATCAGGAGATCTGGACTTGAGGCTTTCTGCCTGGCTATTGGCTGGGGACAGCGCCTGGAAGGACGCCGTCTCCAGGACATCTGGACTTCGGCTCTGGTACTCCTGGTCTCCCATCACGGAGGACGACGAGTCGTTGGTCAGGCCATCACTCTCCACCGAGCCGTTCTCTCTGCTGCTCTGCCGCTGCAGGATGAGAGGAGCAGGACCCACCTTCCCCGGGGCATCGAGGGAAGCCGTCACAGCAAACCCAAGCGTGGGTGACACCGAGTGGACGCTGGGAAGAGGGACGGGGACCTTCAAGGAGCTCCCGGGGGCATCCTGGGGGCCGACCTCGTCCACAGCTATGCTTTCCAGAATGTCGTCCTGACAGACGGCACCCGCGCCGCCATTTTCGCTGACCATCATGGGCTCGGGCCCCGTGAAGTCACAGGGGCTCTCGGGCAGGGGCGTGTTGGGAATCTGGCCGCCCATGTGCATCCGGATGTGCTGCTGCAGCAGGACCGCGTTGGTGAACTTCTTCTGGCAGATGGGGCACGAGTGCTGCGTCTTCACGGACGCGCTGGTTCGGTGGACCCCGAGGTGCGTCTTCAGGTTGCCCTTGGTGGAGAAGGCCCGACCGCAGATCTTACACTGAAAAGGCCTCTCCCCGGTGTGCGTGCGGTAATGCATCTTGAGGGAGCTCTGGCAGCTCAAGACCCGGTGGCAGATGAGACACTCGTTGGGGTCGGTGGTGGCCTTGTCAATGTTCTCCACCAGCTGCTGCAATTTCAGGGTTTCGGACCCCGGCTCGGGTGTCCCGCTCCCTTGGAAGCCACCAACCCTTGGGGAACTGTGGTGTGGCCCCACCCCAGGTAGTAGGGATCCATCCTCACTGTCTGGAGAAGGCCCGGGCTGTAGGTCGTGGGGCAGGGGGCCGCCCATGAGGTCCTTGGGGTTAGTCCCTGATGAGAGATTCTGAGGTAGCCCTATGTTGGGGGTCCCTGTTACAAGGACAGGTTTGCTGTCTAAAGAGAGACTCGCCTCCTCTACGGGGACAGGTACAGAGAGTGCATAGGGAATGCCATTGCCTGCCGCCATTTTGTCGTGGAACTCAGCAAAGAGCTGGGGGTTCGCCTTCACCTGGGGATGTCGATGAAAGTGCACCTTGAGGTTGCCCTTGGTGGTGAACCGGTGGCCACAGACCGAGCACACGAAGGGTCTCTCTCCGGTATGGGAGCGGAGGTGGATCTGCAAGGAGCTATCAGTCCCAAAAACCTTGCTACAGTACTTACACTTGTGCTTGCAGAGGACGGCCTCGTCTTTGGGTTTGACCTCCACGGGGGACACGTTCGGTGGCTTCCCTTTCCCTTTCTTGGACGGGTCTAAGGCCACCGTGGAGAAAGGGCTCTGGAAGAGCACAGAGCCTGGGGCCTGAGGTAGCAAAGCGCCGGGGAGACGCGACATGACGCCTGGTAGCACCCGCGTCCCATCGGGCTTCAGGGTGAAGGGCGCCAGCCCCGGGGACGCGGAGCCGGTGCCGGCGGAAGGGACGTTTGCGTGAGGTAGCTTGGCTGGCTTCAGGGCGTCCAGGGACAGGCCCTGGCTTCCGGCTTTCTGGCTGAGCAACGCCACGGCCGCCGACACCTGCTGGGACATGTGGCTGCCCAAGGTCTTGAGGGCGTCGGCCCCAGCGGCGCCGGAGTGGAGGGCGTGCGAGGCCCACGTGTTCACCTGCACGCGGATCTGCTCCGTGAGCTGGATCTGCTGCAGCTGCTGCTGCTGGAGGCACAGGATCTGCTCCAGGACCCACGGGATGCTGCTGGCGCCGGGCAGAGGGGCGGGTGGCGCGTCCGCGCTCCGCTGGTTCACTGCCACCTTGGTGCCCCGCAGCGCCTGCAGAGTGACGTTCGTGTTGGCCACTTTGCCTTTGGGTACGTAGCTTATGTCCTGGGACGCGGCCGGCAGGGCGGTCTCGGTCTTCAGGTACACGACAGGCTCGGCGCCCAGCTTCTCCTTCGCCTCCCCCGAGCCACCGCCGACTCCGCCGTCCTCCCTGGGCCCCTCCTTGCTGCCCGGGCTCAGCCCAGCCCCGGAGAAGTCGTCGGAAGGCACCGGCCCCTCGCTGTCGTTCATGATGAGGACGGGGGGGTTCTTAGTGCAATTTTTCTTGTGTTCGAAGAACTCGGAGAAGCTGAAGAACTCCGCGCAGCATTTCTCGCAGATGTGAGTCTCCTCCCGACGGGTCCTCTTCACGGTCAGGCCATCCCTGCTGGCTTCACTGCCACTCCCCGGGGGGTTCATGGGAGCACCTGGGACAAGAGAGCACAAGCTAAGAATGGTGCCTAAGAAGGGGTGCGGGGGCTCTTTCTAGCAAAGAACCACAACTCACCATACAGACGCCTTCCTCTGTCCAAACAGGCAGAAGACTATAAAAGGGAACTAGGCCTCCAGAGGTCGGAACCAACTAACCACTTGTGTAGTGGGTTAACTGTGCCCACCTCCCTCCACCCCCCAACCCTACCCCACCCACCAGGGCCGCCAAGTTTGTCCAAGTCCTTATACCCAGCACCTGTGCATGTGAACTTACTGGGAACAGGATCTTTACAAATCTAACTGGGAGAGTCCCTAACCCATTGCTTGATGTTCTTGAAGAGACCGGGAAACAAGAGATGGAACAAGTAAGGCCCTAGGAAGGAATTACCGGGGCTCTAAGCCAGGAATGCCAGAAGCCAACAGGAGATAGAAAGGAGGCTTGAAACCCTTTTCCCCTGTCTCCAGAAGGAAACCATCCTCACGGACACCTCAATTTCAGGTATCTGGCCTCCAGAACCATTTGACTGAACTACGCTTAAAAACCATCCAATTTGCAGCAATAGTTTATGGAAACCCTAGGAAATTCATAAAACTTCTCTTTATTAAAATAATCCCCTCGGAGCTCTGCACCCCACTCAGAGCGAGCTTGCAAAGGCCAGTGGGTCTCACGCAGTGAATATAAATGGCACTGGGAACCTGCTCAAATACAGCTGCTCATCCCCACGCCGGGGCCGCTGAAAAGGAACCGCATGACGAGTGCACCTTCCCAGTTCCAAGGTGCCAACACTGAAAATACAGAGAACAGCACACTGGGTCCATTTAAACAGGAAGGCCAAGCGGATATTCTAAGGAGTATTTTCATTTTTTAAAAAAGATTTTTATTTATTTATGACAGAGAGAGAGAGTGAAAGAGGGAAACCAAGCACAAGGGAGCTAGACAGGGAGAGGTAGACTCCCCCCTGAGCAGGGAGCCCGATGCAGGGCTCGATCCCAGGACGCTGTGATCATGACCTGAGCCGAGGGCAGAGGCTTCATGACTGAGCCACCCAGGCGCCCCATCCTAGGAACATTTTCATGAGACACTGACAAAAGCAAAGATTTCATCTTCAAAGAAGGCTGTGACCATAGGGAAAAAAAGACTTTGATGATCTTACAGATCATGAAAAACTAGAGAAATGTCTCATTGGTGTGGACACTGTATTAATAAGCCATTATATAAAAAGAGAAGCCTGAGGGGCGCCTGGGTGGCTCAGTGGGTTAAGCCTCTGCCTTCGGCTCAGGTCATGATCTCAGGATCCTGGGATCGAGCCCCGCATCGGGCTCTCTGCTCAGCGGGGAGCCTGCTTCCCCCTCTCTCTCTGCCTGCCTCTCTGCCTACTTGTAATCTCTCTGTGTCAAATAGATAAATAAAATCTTAAAAAAAAAAAAAAGAGAGAAGCCTGAGAATGGAAAGGGGATGGGAATGATGGGTTTCACTGCAACCTCTACTTGCAACTTCTATTCCTATAATGTATCTGAAATGAAATATACAAAATCAAACACCTTCCTGTTCTGGGCAGTTACATTCGTAGAAAGGATTGGTCTCCGGATTTCTTTTGTAATTGGGTCCTATAACCCTATTCAGGGTTAATGGAAGCCTGCATATTCAAATGCCCATCTTGAGACTGTGGCTTTTATCTGGACATCTGGGTCCTGAAAACAAGAAGTCAGGTGAAAAGTCCCCCAAGCTACTTTACTGTTCTCATTTCCTGGCTATCCAATTATAGGTACACTCCCCCACGGAGAAACCAGAGGTATACCTCAGAGTCAGGATCTAAACTAACAGATAATTGCACATGTATACAAAGATCCATATAAGAACAGTTTTGGTTTGTTTTGTGGGTTTTTTTTTTTTTTTAACAGAAATGGCATAACTTCTGGATGCTCTCACATGGAGACGAAGTTAGGTGAAAGAAAACAGGCTGCAGAAAAATACATAAAATGTGACCACTTTTGTTTAAAATACAACATGTCTGAAATGGACAAATGGATGGAAGAGAGGCCGAAAAGGATACATCTCACGTTTAAATAAATTACTACTTTTTATGTTTTGCCTCTCAACTCCTTCTTGGGTGATTACAGTTCCTAAAACCATGGGGGTTTGATTGAGGAGTCCCCCACAGTATGGGGGTGGAGGTGATCTTGAAAGAAAAGTTTATTTCCTTTTTTTTTTTTAAGATTTTATTTATTTGCCAGAGAGAGAGTTAGTTATAAGCACAAGCAGGGCTAGCGGCAGGCAGAGGGAGAAGCAGGCTTCCCGCTGAGCAAGGAGTCAGATGGGGGATTCATCCCAGGACTCTGGGATCATGACCTGAGCTGAAGTCAGACGCTTAACTGACAGCCACACAGAATATATCCAGGAAAGTGTATTTCTCTTCAGAAGATCTACAGATTTCCGACTTTCAAAAAGTAATTCTTTAAAATCTACATAAGGTAGCCCATTCTTTATGAATTTCAGACCTGGCACTACGAAGTTTTGTAAGGTGTGTGTGGGTTGGGGGTGGGCCAGGGACGAAGAGCCAACAGCCACTAAAAGGTCTGGCCCGCCAGTGTAGGGAAAGTAGGCTACTAGGGCTGACCCAGCACTTGCCTGTGAACAAGCTGGATATGGAAGCCTTACCCTTCAGGATCTGCCCAAAACAAGCATAACCGTGACAACCTCATGCGGTAGGTATGCCTGGGTTCAGTGAAGTTTTAACAAATGTGTGAAATACCTACTAATATGCCCGATGCCATCCTGGATGGAATCTGGCAAAAAAAGGTGCAGATACTGCGGAGTTCAGTAAACATTATTCTCTACACCTTCTATCTTAGCTGGGAAACTGGGGAACAAAACTTTCCTAACAACCGTCACTGAATGCCTAACTCATTCACCAACACATCCCACCTCCTACTGGGCACACCACAGGGCAGCTAGGGATCCGACCGTTGGTGAAATGATGACCATGATGTTCTGTCTGCAGGTCGGACAGGGGACCTCTACGTGCCCCCTACTATACTCACCCAATCTATTAAATTACCTGCCCCACTGACAAACGAGCCAGGCATAATTCTAAACAACTCACAGGTTCTAAATACTCTGATGTAGGGGCTATTGTATTTCAGAGGGGGAACTGAGGCACAGAGGACATCAGTTTGCCCAAAGTAATACACGTGATAAAGGGCAGGGCCAATATTAACACCCAGGCATGCAGCACCCACACCCTCCCTCCTTCCTACACTTCCTACCATGTTTCTTCTGTTGAGACTGCAACTATCTTTCCTCTCAAAGTCACCCCAGGCAGGACAGAAAAGCCTGAGGGGTCAGGTTGGCAAGGAAGGGGAAAGGGACGAGGACACATGCTACTACAATCTTTCTGGAACTCCTGGAAGCCACTTGAAAAGTTAGTACACAGGGACACCTGGGTGGCTCCGTCGTTAAGCGTCCGCCTTCAGCTGAGATCATGATGATCCTAGCATCCCCAGATCAAGCCCTGCACCCGGCCACCTGCTAAGCAGGAAGCCTGCTTCTCCCTCTCCCACTCCCCCTGCTTGTGTCTCTGGCTATGTCTCCATCAAATAAATAAATAAATAAATAAATAAATAAATAAAATCTTAAAAAAAAAAAAAAAAAAGCACTAGTACAAAACACATCCCTGCTACCCTCCAGGTGTTCGACAGGTTAAGTTCCCAATCCCAGCCATATTTCAAGGGTCAAGTTAAAAATTCTTGTCAATTCCCAGAATACAGTCAGTACCTATCCTCCTCCTTTCCCAGGATTGGGAGTGACATGTTAGAGGGAGTGTTTGTTATGTAGCACTCTTTCTGGAAAAGCAATTCTGGCAATTATGTGTCAAGAACTTTAAAAAGGACAACTTTTAACAAGTTTCCCTTGGCAGGAAAATACACGGGGCCAGGAGGTGCACAGAAAGAGAAAGATACAGTTCCTTCCGCAGCACTCAGCAACATCACGTTGGTTCCTCTAGTTCTCCTCTGACCCTTGTTGGGAATTTACTTTATGAAATAAGGATACATTTCTCTTATTAACAAACAGCAAAAACAGGTACACTCTGTGGCCAAGCAGGAAGGCTCCGGTTAAGTTAAGTCAGGGCACAGAGAAAAAGGGATTCGTCTGTAGCCTACAAAAAAATAAAGCAGATCTCTTACTTGTGGTGTTCTAGAGGGAAACCGCCCCGGATTTATTTCAAGAGGAGGAAGAGAACGGGGTGTAGATCTTTGGTCCCATCTGCCTTTGTGGATAAAGACACAAATATGCACATGAAACATCCTCGGTCTGCAGTAAGAGACACTGGGGCTGGCTAGCTCTTGGGAGTGTGGGCCTGGGGACTCGGGGGAGAGAACATTTTACAAGGGTCCACCTTTGTACTATGGTTTCTTCTTCATTAGCATGTTTCAACCCTTAGACTCAACCATTGTTAACTTCTGGAAATCTCCAGTAAAGCCGCATGCAAGAATACTATCCGGGTCTGTAAGGGGAACCACCCCACCCTGCAGCAAAACACATGCTCCCTTAACCCATTCATCTCTGCAGCCACATCTTAGACAAGTGTCCTCAGGCCCAATTTGCAGATGTGCAAACTGAGGCTCAGACAGAATTAAGTGGCTCAAGGTAAGAAACTGCTCACCAGGAAAAGGCGACCAGGGATTGTATTCTTAAGTACCATCAAGAAGGGCGCTAAACTTAGGGGCCTCATTTATCATTGCTTCTTCTAGAGCAGTTTCTCACTTTTTTTTTTTTTTCCATTTCATCCTTCTATGGAGGCTTTGAGAGCTTTCTTAACTACCACCTCTCCTCCCTCGCCTTGAAACTTTAATACCACAAATATATTGTATATCTGTATGTGCACTATGGTCCTTTAGGAACGCCAAAAACCACTGTAAATCAAGTTTTCTGTCCCCATCCCCTCATGAAAATGTTCACACACACCCCCAAAAAATTTTAAAAAGAAAAGGGGGC